GAAAAAAGAAAAAAAAAAAAAAAAAAAAAAAAAACTTGTCCTCTATCACTACCAAGGCAAACAAGGATGGTTTTGAAAGGGACTTGTGCATCCATCATCCCTTAGGTAAGAAAAAAACATTACACTAAATTCCCACTCCATAAATATCATAGGATCCTTGATATATGCTAAATTATGTCATCATTACATTCAAAACCCAAATTCATTAAACAAATAAAAACATGCAGGTTGAACCTCAAAAAATAAAAAATAAAAAATAAAAAAATAAAAACTTAACTAAATAGTGTAGATGTAGGATTCACTATGTGTCAACCAAATTATTAGTGAACAATGAGGCAAATTTTCATCCAAATGCAAATAAAACTGAAGGATCAAATCAAATTATCTTAAGAAAGTGAAAACATATGAAAGAACTATTACCATTTCCATGTCATTAGTTTCTAAAACATTATAAATCATTGGTAAAACGATATGGAAGATTTGAGCTGCGAGAGAAACATTCTCAATTTTAATTTGGTAATTAAATCTTTACATCTACAATACATATGATAAACCGTAAACGAGAGAAAAGAAAAGGAAAAACTATCCTCTAAAAATATCTAGTGTCATAAATCAAATTTAGAAATTTATTTTAAGAAATAAAAAAGCAACCAAAAGAATATCAACCCACCACTTGATTTAGCTGAGCTGAAATTGAAAATTGCATACTTTACATCTCCAAGACTCAAAACACCACTAGAACAAACAAATGAAAACAAAAGGGTCAAAAATTGAAAATACCCAGAACTAGATTTTCTCAGCTTCCAAACAAAGCACAGCTCAAAATAAACATAAACCACAAAAAGAAAAAGGAAAAAAAATATACAATAATCGCAGAAAACTCACGAGTAACAGTTTGATTAAAAAAAATAAAAATAAAAATGAGAGAGTAAAGCAAAGAACAAACCTTGGAGGATTTGCTGGCACTCTTGGAGAGCTTCAAGCCGTGGGAAGAAGGCGAGGGCGTATTGGGCCGGGAGGAGGTGACGGCCCAGTGGGCCGGCGAGAGGAGAGCGGCGTCCGACAGCCTCTCCGCCGTGTCAATGGAGGACGAGGAAGGAGGCGACAAACAGTGCTCCTCGTCCTCTCTCTTCCTCGGAACATACAAACACAAATTCATCCCCAACGCAACCTTCGCTTTTCTCCATTTACTTCCCATCTTTCTTTTTCTTTTTTTTTTCCTTCTAAAACTCAAAACCAGAGCAAAATTCGCCAAACCCAGATCTCAAAACTGCTCAAACTGAGCTCGGTCGTTTTTCCTTTTTTTTTTCTTTCTCTTGGAACGAGAGAGAAGTAATGGGCCTTTGAGAAAAGTCTGAAGTTGGACACGAAAACCGAGAGAGAAAGAGAGAGAGGTTTTAATGGAGGAGCTAGCTGAGAGAGAGGAAAATATTGTGGAAAGGCTAAAACGACAAAAGGGAGAGACTGAGTCGTATGCGAAGTTTGAGACTTGTATTAGTCGCCGGCTCCTGGTTGTTCTTCTTCTTGGCCGCCATGGAAGACATATAGAGAGAGAGAGAGTTTAGCTTTAGCTTCTTTCTTTTACTTGAGCGTTGTTGGGTTTTTGAGGATTTTGTTTTGACCTTTTTTTGGTTGCTGTTGTTGGTGATGATGATGAATGAAGCGGTAAAAAAATAAAAAAAAAATAATAAAAAAAAAGACGCTCATAAAAAAGCACGTTTTGGTTGAATAATCAATAATGGGAGAGGAAAATATAAATAAATAAATAAAGTTAGCTGCTTTCTTTGCTACACATTTGTTATATCGTTAAATTCCCTTTTTGCCCTTGGATTTCTTATGTATTTTCACTAAAGGGACTCTTATCTTCTTTTTTTTTTTTTGTGTGAGCAGGGATTTAAATGTTGATGTCGACGGGATTGTTAAGGTTTTAATTTACGGATAATGTTGATTGAAAAAATGGAAACTTTAAAAAAAAATTAAAAACTTTTTATTAAAACTATAAAAAATACTAAAAACAATCAATATTACTTAATTTAGACTAATTTAATAACAAAATAATACATTTTATTATGAAAATTATGTCAAATAGTATAGTAAAAAATTATCATAATTATATATGGATTATGATTTAAATATAATTTTACATACACAACACAAACAACGCATAATAATCTAATATATTACATGAAAATTAACTACCAAACATAAAATCATCTCCAATGTAAATGCTAATATCAATTGTATATTTAGCATCAAAAAGTGTGATATGATATGTTATTTTCATTTTTACTCTAAAGCACTATTTGAAATGCCAAATTTAATTTTTTTCTATAATTATTGAACTTTGAAAGTTGTAAAAGTAAACTTTTATTTTTAAAATAATTAAAAAATACAAAAGTTGCACTGATTACATGAAAAAGTAAATATTTTAATATATAGCAATTAAATGTCAAATTTCTCAGATGCTATACTTTGTGGGAAATTTACCATAAAGTATAGCATATGAGAAAGTTATCACAACAAATAGCATTGCATTGGAGAGTATTTTTTACACTTAAATGCTAAATTTGTAATTGACACATCAATTATAGCATTGCATTAGAGATGCTCTAATAGAGTACACACAGACTTAAAATGTTTTTTAGTAGCAAAATAAGTTTTTAGCAAGTTGGAAAGCGCATTAAGTAGGTTCCGATCTTGATTTAAACAATACATTTGTCAAGATATTACTCTTGAATGATTCAAGAGGTAATTGTTGATGTGGCACTTGTAAGTCTTTTGATATCTTCCCACTGTAAACCTATAAATTGGATAATGTTAGTTTATCCAACTTAATGATTAGTCTTTAGGAATTTGTGATGACATTTCAATACTGACTTGTGTGGAGGATACATTAATATATTAAACAAACCATCTTAATTTTGTACTTCTAAAGTAGATCTCATGTGAGAACTATATGCATGATTATAACCATATAAATTGTGTTCAGTTCCTAAGCTCATTAAATCAAAACTCAAGGCCGTATAATAATCATAAGTTTTTTTTAACTCATTTGAGTCACACCACGTTCTTTTATAAATTATTTTCTACTTGCCCTAATACCAGGATATGTTTCCCTACACCTATGATCTTAATATGTGTAGCATGAGTAAAATCTTCTTCTCCAGTATTTGAATATGAATCATTAATTTAAAAAGTAAAAAATTATTTAAAAAACTAATTAAGTCTTAATTTTTTATTGCTTTCAATTTGAATCATGTTGTAACATTTCATTAAAAAAAAAAGGAAAAAAAAAGTCCTAGAAAATTAATTTTTGTGCAAAAAAAATTTTTCCAATGTTTTTTGAATTTTGTAAACATTTTAAAAAATATTCTAGATATTTACAGATACTCACTGATTTTACGAATATTTTATACAGTGTGGATATTTTATAGTATTCTCCCTTTCTCATTCTCGTTATCTATATCGAGACTTCAAAATATGAATAATATCGTAGACATTTTCACCCCTGTGCGTGAGTGTGTTGTTTTTAGGATTTGTTTTGTTCAAATACAATGTAAATCCTTTCAGAAGACTTCATAAATTTTGGTAAAAAATAAAACACAATAAGAATACTAATTATAGAGTTTCTAACAACTGTTTAATATTAGTGATACTCTTTTTTAGTGTCAAAGTGATTTATCTCTACAGAGATTTTAGGTAACCTATGTTAATTGCATGCCAAAATGAAATAAAATTATATAGATTATGCTAACAACAATCATGATCTACGATAATTAAAAAAAACTAAAATTACAATTTAGGGCACCTCGTGTATACTATAATTGATTAGGCCCTTAATTACTAAAAAATAGTCTGGAATGACAGCATACGCTCAACCATCCTAGCAAAATTATTTGATGTAATAAAGTGTTTCCTCTATATTCTAAAAAATAAAGCTAAAAGTGTTAACTCTAATCTTAATTTTTCTGTACAATTTACATTACAAGTGAATTTTCATAAATTGACCAAAAAAAAAAAAAAGAATTAGTGTTGTCATGGCATTACTCTACTCTAAATAACTTGTAGTTTCCCACCCATGGTATTCTTTTTTCTTTTTCTTTTTTTCCAATTAGTTTTGAGGTTGAAGAGACGAGAAAAGCAGTCATTCGATTTGGATTTAAAAAAAAAAAAAAACTTGAATATTATAAGTTTAGCACACCTTTCATGCTACACATCACTCGTCAAATGTAAGCTAATTATGTGTCAAAAAAAAAAAATCACACAAAAAGAAAAACTTGGCGTCATCCAAAATTCCAAATCCTTAAAACTGAGAATTTTTTTGCTAATCCCTTAAACTGAGATTTTAAACTGTCTGAAAGAGATTTACGACAATTTTAATTGGTCTATTTACAGCTATTGCACAACTGCAGTTTGCAGCTTTTGATCACTACTGCACTGCCCCACAATTTTCACGCATATCTATCCATTGCTCACCTTATGAAAGAAAAATTAATAGACATATTCATTACAAATTATGCTCTTCCTCCCTTTTCAAGTAAAAGATAAAAAAAGTATTTTTTCTTGATAGGTTAGTTTTCACATTTATTTTCTGAACTTATATGATTTAATATTTTGCTTTTTAAATTTTTAATTTTGACAAGTTACTCTCTTAACTTATAAATTTGTTACAATATGTCTTATTTTAACGATAATTGTGTTAAATTAGTGCTGAAAAAACACGTTCGACGAAAAATTCTATCTCAATTTAAGTGTAACACAAATATTTAAATTTCTCAACTTTTAATCTCTTAAATTTAATAAAAAAAATTTAAGAAAATTTAGTAAAATGTGACACATTATAATAATTTTACAAGTTTAGGAGTTGATCGTCAAAATAAAAAATTTAAGAGATAATTTACTAAATTACAACAAGTTCATAAGAAAATTGTACTAAATACTGGCACTGAAATAGCAAATTAAATGCCACTTTTACCTCTATTAATAATTTTGTCTTAATTTCAATGAAGAAAAAAAACGTTACGTCTCAAAAATACTTGAGCTCTAAAACCAAAAAAAAAAAAAAAAGGAGCTAAACTAGTAGTACCATTTATTGAAAATATAGTTTTCGATGTACTGATATGTATGCTGTAGCATGTATGTAATCTTTTCGAATTCTCTAAAATATATAAACTCGGACAAATTAATTTTTTAGCCCTTGAAATACCATAAATCTAATATCAAGCTAGAGTTTAGAGCAAAGATAAAATTAATAAGCAGGTCTCAATCATATAACTTATAAATTAGAGGGTATTATTCTAAACCCATATAAACAGCACTGTTCGAATATTTCCAACATTCATTTAATTTTCTACTTCCCAGTTGCCTAAACTATGCACTAATTCACAAAATCTATACTAGTTTTAGTGGATGATTCTTAGCTCTCTTTCTTTATTATATATTTCTAGTATTACGCACTATGCACTTTAAAGCCATCCATGATATTGGTTTGTCACTATTCAATTATTACTTTATAATACTTTC